TATATACACATACTGTATATTTATATATATATACACACATATACATATATACACATATATTTACATATGCATATACACATAAATTTACATATGTGTGTGTGTGTGTGTTTATTTTTCAAAGCTTTTTTAAAGAAACAGATCATGTGATTTAAAAGAAAATAGAAAGTTGTGTGAAAATTCTGACGTTTTTAAAGACTAAATTGAAGAAAATTAATACAGATAAATAACACGATCACAAAATAAGAAACTCCAGCAGAAGAAGCACCTTTCCAAGTTAAAGTTTTCTCATTATGAAACTATTATTTCTATAAACACACACAGGAGGTCTCACTGTAATAAACTGTTTGCGTCTCTCTGGTGCATTTCTGCCTAAAACATGTTTGTTCTTCATTCAGTGAAGTTATGTTTAGCTGTTTCATTTAGTTATTTACTTTATTATTTAGTTAGTTACATACAGTGAAGTTTATTCAGTGAAGTTAGGCTCCCTTTGGTAGTTGTGGATATGTATACTGCAGTAATACAATATTAAATGTAAATTATGTGAGGTGTCTTATTGTAAAGTGGTACCCATATGGTTTTATAGAAAGTGTGTAAAGTATTCAGAAATTTTACTCAAGTAAGTGTAGTGATACTTCCTACTTGATTAATATTTCTCAAGTAAAGCAAACAGCAAGGTGTAGTAAAACTCCTAAAAGTACTTTTTTTTTCCATAAAGTTACTCAAGTAAATGTAACTACTACCCTGTCTGTTGCAGTTCCAGTAAAAACAAATTAATAATCTTTAATGTTCAGGCAGTTTGTTGACGGCTCAGAGAGACAAAGATCCCTGCAGTCTGTCTGAATCTTACTTCCAAACGAGCGGATGGAGTTTAAACCCAGAGCCTGCTTGATGTCCTCCCTGGTCACTCTGCAGTATTCACATGCAGGTCGTCCCTGCACACAAGAAAATCCTTTTGGAGCCAAATTTCATCTTAACTGCATTTTTCCCCCCACTGTGATCAGATGTTACAGATGTTTACATGCATGAAGTTTCACAGACAAAAATAAGGCTCAGATTTGTGGTTAGGATGCTGTTTGATCCAGAAATGTGGCTGATTTAAAATGAAAAAGCATTCGACTCTGGCCGAGCTTAAAAAAAAATCTGAAATATCATCTACTGGCACTTCTCTTCCTCCCTGCAGATTTTCCATTTTAAATCAAATATCAAGCCCCTGGACTTTTGAACTTTTGCTTTGTCACTTTTCATTTATACAACTATAAGAACAGAACAATCAGATCTGTCACAACTAAACATTTTGCAGCTGCGCTTTGATGATTCATCTTTAAAAAAAACAAATAAAAATTCTGAAATTTACATACCCAAAACTGATTTAAATCTTGTTTTTTCCATCATTTTCCATTTTAGTCAGATAAATTCTGGCAGAGAAACATTTTTTTCCAACAATAAAATTTGATTTATGAATATACGCAGGTTTACTGAAAACCTTTAACAGCTGGAAACTTTAACTGTCACCACATCTGTAATATAAGACAAAGTTTCATGTCGTAATGATCGAAACCTCCACTGAAATGTCATTTAAAATGTCATTTTTTAAAATGTGGAGTCATTATTTTATACTGGTTTCTTTAGGGTATTTTTCTGTGTCGCTCTGTGGGGTTCAGCTGAGTCGTATAAAAAAATTTAGGCCATTTTCCAGTTTTATTGGAAAGCAGCTCTTTGAAATTTATTCCACAAAAACTTTGATTTGAATCAAATGTGGGGCGAATTCAGCACTGAGGGTTCATTAAATAACAAAGTATATTTGAGTAAAAATAGAAAAACACCAGTTTTGAATGAGAGTTTATATCTAAATATGGTTTATCACCAGAATCAGGATTAAAAACGTTCCACTTTTTATGTCCTGATGCATCTCAGTAATCCAGGTAAAAAATCAAAAAGAAAAAACTGTATAGGTCTTCTGGACGGGTTCTTCTCTAATGAAACATTTCGTCTCTCCTCCAAGAGACTTCTTCAGTCTGAGAGTTTCAGGCAAAATTCAGGCTTTTAAGCACTGCCTCCATGTGACTGATACATCACATGGCTATCGTTGACACCTAATTAACACCTATTGTTAACAGGGGTGGAGTGATACTGGCAATAGCAGCACTGTAGGAGGGGGACAACTGAAAACGGAGGCCTCTGCCTCTGTTTAATGATGGACGGTCTTTCTTCACAAAAATGTCTTCTTTTACTCCTCTCTCAAACCAACGTTCCTCTCTATCAAGAATGAGAACATCCTCATCTCTGAACGCGTTTGTGTGTTGCGGGTGTTTCGGAGAAACTGAGACGTTTATTTTCTAAACATGATGTCCCAGTAGCTTTCAAACCCCAAAACACATTACGGCAAAGGCTGGTTCACCCCAAAGATCCGGTGCCCCGGCACAAACAGAGCAATGTTGTATATGCTGTTAAGTGCCAGGAGGACCAGTTATACATCGGGGAAACAAAGCAGCCACTGTTCAAAAGAATGTCCCAACACAGACGAGCTACATCTAATGGCCAGAACTCTGCAGTTTTCACTCATTTACAGGCCAGCGGTCACTCTTTCAGAGATGAGGATGTTCTCATTCTTGATAGAGAGGAACGTTGGTTTGAGAGAGGAGTAAAAGAAGKCATTTTTGTGAAGAAAGACCGTCCATCATTAAGCAGAGGTGGAGGCTTCCGTTTTCAGCTGTCCCCCTCCTACAGTGCTGCTATTGCCAGTATCACTCCACCCCCTGTTAACAATAGGTGTTAATTAGGTGTCAACGATAGACATGTGATGTGAGTATCAGTCACCTGGAGGCAGGGCTTAAAAGCCTGAATTTAGCCTGAAACTCTCAGACTGAAGAAGTCTCTTGGAGGAGAGACGAAACGTTTCATTAGAGAAGAACCCGTCCAGAAGACCTATACTATTTTTTCTTTTTTGTTCCACTTTTTAGTTTTAATAAGGGCAAAATGGATTTTTGTGACCTATTTTTTTTTTGCCAGACTTGTATAAAAATTCAACAAGACTTTAAATATGTAGACCAACACCGAGTTACATAAAAACATAATTTGTCCGTTTTGAGCAACAGTTCTCACTACGTAAGCCTGGATCTGTGCAAAACTTTCTATAAAATGTTTTTTCTACGATCGATGCTCGTTCATCCAGCTGTGCCTCTGTGTAACAGTTTGAGTTTATTTATTTATTTAATTATTGACACCTGGACAGACTTTTAGTTTTCTCAAAAGGTTAGAGGAGAAAACCTCACATTCTCAGACCTCATCTTCACATATCGTTTTTAAAACTTTAAAGCAACTTTAACAATATAAAGACCATAATTATTTCATCCAATGCTTTAAACTGTCTTCAGTTTAGAGGGCAAAAGCAAATAATGAGTATTTTATACCTCTTGCTGCCTCATTCTTTTAATACAGAATAAAAGGTTTAAAAAGTAAAATATTTAGCCCTAAGATTGATGAATTCGCCTGTTTTCAGTTTGTAGATGAGAACTCAAAGCTTGACATGTTAGGATGAAACAAAAGAGGACATAATGGTCAAAGTGTCACATTTTAAATGGGGAAAACCCTCTGCCAGTGTTTGCAAATGATTTTTAGAAAATCTAATTTCTATTGTTTGGAAAATATATTTCTTATCATCCACATCCAGTTCTAACAAATCCAAAAAAATATAAACAATACGAAGTTCAGACTATTTTAACAGGACAAATTTGACTACTTATTCCAGATGTTAGTCCTAAATGTTTGATACATTATTCCAGGGTTTATGAGAGTCTGAGAAGTTGAAAATCTTCTGCACAGACGTCGTAGCGTCTGTCAGAAATGAATGCCAAATCGTGTGTACGTGAAATTTACACAGAATTGTTCACACCAGGAGGACCATCAGACTTGGTTGCAGAACAATGACTGCTCCCTCACTTGGAACTTCAAGCTGTATTGAACTGGAAAGGTACGCGTCTAAGGACGGACAGGATTTTAACTAGCTCTACGAATCATACGTGGCTGAAATGACATGGAAAAAAAAGTCAGTCCTTCTAGTAATAGTGGTAAATATTCTTACTGTTACAGGTAACATCTTGCTTACAGGAGGAAAACCTTCATTTAGAGGAGCACCTACCTGACGGATACATTCCAGACTGCAGTCCTGAGGGGCCACAGCTGCAGCGTCCGGCCGAGCGAGAGCCCAAAGCTGGAACAAAACTACAACTGCCCTCCACATGCTGCCGCTGCCAGCATGACGTTTCCCCAAGACAACTGACAACAAGATTGTTTTTAACTGTGTGCAAAAGTACAAAAAAAAAAAAAACTGGGAGGAGGGACACGCAAGGGAGTGGTGTCCCGGGGCCACAGACAGAGACGAGCAGCTTGAGAGTTTCTCCTCAGCGTGTTCTGACACTTACACTGCCAGAAGATTTTATCCTGCAGGATCGAACGGTTTAACCAGAAACCCTAAACTCACCGTAAACACTTTGAGAAACAAAAACCAATTAGTCACAGTCGTGTTTATTAAGTACAGACGATACAACACTTTTTTTTCTTAGTATTTCTGAGTTATTTACTTACAGAGTATTGGGCCACACAACAAGATTTTCTTTTTTTTCAATTACGAGATTAAAGTTATAATATTATGGGATTAAAGTCGTATCAATATGAGATTAAAGTTGTAATATTACAAGAAAAAAAGTCATAATATTATGATAAAGACATAAAATCCATTTTCCGGTCCTGATTTTTTGCTCATTTTCTCCAACATTCCTTATTTTAATGCAGTAGTAACACAGCTTTTTCATGTAAAGGTTATGTCTTTTTTCTCGTAATGTTACAGCTTTATTTTGCGTAATGTTACACCATTATTCTCATAATATTATGACTTTTTTTCTCGCAATATTACGACTGTAATGTCATAGTATTATGACGTTATTTCTCATAAAGTTGCGACTTTATTCTCATAATATTATGACTAATGTTGTAATATTACGACTTTTTCCTCATAATATTATGACTATTTCTCATTAAGTTATGATTTTATTCTCATAATATTATGACTTTAATGTCGTAATATTACGACTTTATTTCTTGTAATATTACGAATTTTTTCCCACATTTACGACTTTATTTCTTGTAATATTACGACTTTTTTCCCATAATGTTATGACTTTTTTCTCATAATATTATGACTTTTTTCTTGCAATGTTACAACTTTTTTCTCATAATGTTACGACTTTTTTCTCGTAATTAAAAAAATAAAAAAACTTGTTGTGTGGCCCTTATACTCTGTCGTATTTACTGACACAATAATTTGTGGTTATTTACAGCAGAGTACTAAATTACAAAAGAAAAACAGCTCAGATTATGAAACTATGAATGAGAGGGAAAGAACAAAAGATTTCCATGAGGACTCCAGAGCTCGATTCTGACGATCATCGAATCTGAAAAGGAAAAAAAATCAAAGTCACAAGCTCTACTTTTATTACGATTAAGAAGTCATCTGTTCCGCACTTTTTATTGACGAGGTCGTTTCATTTTTGGGCGCTTTCTGATGTTTTTATAGCCTCTTGTTTCAATTAATACGACACATTCTTCAGAGCTGGATTCAAAAAAAATATTCATCTGTCATGGATTTAATCAGCAAATTACGGTCCACTTTCTCCACTGAGAGCCATCTGGTCCAGCTGGTCTATAAAATCTGCTCCCCGCTGTTGTGCCGGGGTAAACACACCCAGCTAGTTCAGCAGGTGTGGCTCTGCACAGGTTTTGTGTCGGCGCTCATCAGAGGGCAGGTGTCACATTAAAACACTGCGAAATGTGATAGAAAGAAATAGTTCCTCGTATTAAGCTTCAGTTCTTATTGGAGAAGACGCTTCTTAAAACTGCATGGAAAACTAAATTTTAAGCATCAGGGCTGCTGATCACTAATGTGCCTCTTTTTTGTTTTGTTTGTTTGTTTTCAGTATGTGGTAAAAGTTTGGCACTAAATCCAAGTCAAAAAAAAAAGGAAAAAAATAGTATAGGTCTTCTGGACGGGTTCTTCTCTAATGAAACGTTTCGTCTCTCCTCCAAGAGACTTCTTCGGTCTGAGAGTTTCAGGCTAAATTCAGGCTTTTAAGCCCTGCCTCCATGTGACTGATATTCACATCACATGGCTATCGTTGACACCTAATTAACACCTATTGTTAACAGGGGGTGGAGTGATACTGGCAATAGCAGCACTGTAGGAGGGGGACAACTGAAAACGGAGGCCTCCACCTCTGTTTAATGATGGACGGTCTTTCTTCACAAAAATGGCTTCTTTTACTCCTCTCTCAAACCAACGTTCCTCTCTATCAAGAATGAGAACATCCTCATCTCTGAAAGAGTGACCGCTGGCCTGTAAATGAGTGAAAACTGCAGCGTTCTGGCCATTAGATGTAGCTCGTCTGTGTTGGGACATTCTTTTGAACAGTGGCTGCTTTGTTTCCCTGATGTATAACTGGTCGCAGTCCTCCTGGTACTTAACAGCATATACAACATTGCTGTTGAATGGCAATGATGAGAGAGGAGTAAAAGAAGCCATTTTTGTGAAGAAAGACCGTCCATCATTAAACAGAGGTGGAGGCCTCCGTTTTCAGTTATCCCCCTCCTACAGTGCTGCTATTGCCAGTTTCATTCCACCCTCTGTTAACAATAGGTGTTAATTAAGTGTCAACGATAACCATGTGATGTATCAGTCACATGGAGGCAGMGCTTAAAAGCCTGAATTTTGCCTGAAACTCTCAGACTGAAGAAGTCTCTTGGAGGAGAGACGAAACGTTTCATTAGAGAAGAACCCGTCCAGAGGACCTATACTATTTTTTTCTTTTTGATTTTTTACCTGGATTACTGAGACGCATCAGGACATTTTTAAATTCAAGTCGTTCTATTGGAAGTAAAGTAATCTTTGCAAGAGCCTGGGGAAACTGAGGTTAAACTAATAAGTTCAAGTCACTACAGTGAGTCTGCAGAAAAGTGTGCCAGCCCCAGCATCTTACAAAAAGAGCAAACCTGCTTGTAGACGTGCAATAATACACGTCCCGTTTCTTCCAAAGTTCATTAAAAGAACAAAGAAAGTTGTCTGATCTCTCGCAGCGTGCCTCTGCAAGTCAAATTTAGCATTTTCCGCCTTCAAGGACGAGACGTTCATGCCAGACGTCGAGCTGTTTATCTGGCTGCGAGACTGATCGTGCTCCTGAAAGCCTGGCACGCAGACGTTTGGAACCAGAACAAAGGTTATTACTGTTGGCTTTTTACCCCCAATCGGAGCCATTTGGAACAGGTGCACGAGAAGAATAAGTCTCACTTTGGAAGCGATGCCCCTGTTACCATCAAACAAATATTTCCAGCAACAACAAGCGAATTATAAATCCTCCGAATGGAGAAACTTCCCCTGAATTTAAAGGTTTTAAGATTGAAAATAAAACGACTTTCTTTGTAATATTTTACAAACGATTGTTTCTTTCAGATGGAAGTGAGCAACATAAACTGTGTCTCACCGTATATTTGTCCCATTTCTTCTCGGGGTCGTACGGCTCCCAGCGACTCGCAGGAAAAATGTGTTTGTTCTTCTCGTACCAGCTCCTCAGCACCACTTTACCTGCATGAGACTTTAGACATAAAATACAACAGTGTAAGAAATAAAACTGAACACAATTGGGTTATAGATGTGCGTCCAGTAATTACATCTGAGGTGTCACAATCCAGTGGTTGGAGATGAGTTTGGGTCACATTCCACACGATTTAATCAAACAGGGTTTCTACGAGTTTTGAGTAAACTTAGGACTGTTTAAAGCAGGAGTTCTCAAACGTTTTGGGTCTGGGGACCCTTTACAAGGGCAAAAAAATTCCAGGGACCCCCCTCATAAATCCCATGCTGTTTTAAAAGATAATTTAATGTCATTTCAACCCTTAAACGCCATGGGAATATATATATATTTTAGTTTCTGTTTGCTTTATTAGTTCATTGTGCCCCATGTGTTTTTAGAAATAAAAAACAAATTAACAATTTAGTGAAACTGCTTTGTTAGGATCCGAGCACACACTTGTTTAAAGACTTGGATAAACTTTTTTTTACTTATTTTAGAGCTGTTTTTCCTTTTTTTTTTTTTACTTGTAAGGCTCTATGTGCCGATACCAAAACTGTTTTTTTAACTGGACCACCCATTAAGGATTTAGAGGTCATCAAAGGTGGAAAATTAGGAAGCTAGTTCTGCATTACTTCCATAACACCATAAAAAAAATAAAAATCACGGAGCCCTGTAGACATAAAGTGCGTCACAATTTCGCAACAATTTTCAAAATAAAGCAGAAAACAAAGTAGATACAACATTTTGATAGATTTATAAATGATAAGGGGGGTCTAAAACGAGTGACTGATGATCACAAAAAGCTGACCAATGCACTGCTGGGGTCGGACGAAGCATTAATCCAAGTGCCTAACTTGTTCTAATCTGCTCTTATTTTGAAAATCCTCACCTCATCTTTCTCCACGGTGGCGTCGTTCACCAGTCGGATGTCGTCGTGGACGTCGAAGCTGAACAAAGGACCTGTGGAGAAAAAATTATCATTTACTAAACACAAAAAAAGAAATGATTGATGTTATAAAAAAATAATCTCTCATTAAAACAAGGCTATAAAAACATGATTCCTTTTAGCAAAATTTTTGGTTCATGAGATTTTATTTCTTTTTTGATTGATTTTAATGAATTAATTTTAATCTGATTTCATTGTGATTGCTTGCCCAGTTTCTAGTCCTTTGAGATCACAAGATGAAAAAGGTCACTATAAATAAAACATATTATTTTATTACCCTGAGTGTTTTGGGATAATCCAGTTTTTGAGATTTATTTGCAAAAAAATGAGCTGTTTTGACTTAAATTCTAAACGAGAATGATAAAAATTTAATTCAAAACAGCCCAGAAGAACATCCAGTTCAACAAGAAAATTCCTCTCACAGTTCTCATATAAGCAAAAACTTTCCAAATTGTTAAGATGTAAGCAGTAAAGTGGGTTTGCAAGAATTCGGCTAATATGAAAAAATATCCTTTTAAAGCCACAAAAAAATAAAT